TGGAAAAGCTTAAAGAAGCCAAGATAACTTTCCCAGGCTGGGTATTAAGACTGTTCGGGTAAGTAAATGAGTGAAGAGTATTACATGGACTTCATTAAATATCAACCAACACCAACAGCCATTCATTTATAACACAACGGCAGGGCGCGGGAGCACCCAGGAGCAGAGCTGAGAAAGGTATGAGTCGCATGTGATAGGAGAGATGAACATGAGAAGGGCTGGATTCCCCATGGGGCTCCAGGTCTGGCTCCCAAGGTCAGGCAACACAACTCCTGACTGAAGCTCCTGCAAATACTGTAGATTTGAAGCTGATGAAGTGGCAGAGCTGGTGCAGTTCATCTCTCGGCTGGGGAGGGTTGCATGCATGTGGTGCAGTATGTCCTTCTCCCTCCTGCAGCTGTGGGTAAGGACAAAACTCTCCAGCTAGGGGAGGACTGTCAGTGCCTGGATGTTTGTTTTCAGTTTTTAGCTTTTACTTCCTCATAGACAGGTTCTGCCTTTACTGGTTTCTAGTCACAGGATGCCAATGGCAGGTAGAGTAAATTACAGAAACTCTTGCTACCGTTCCTGTGATTTCATGTGCCAGTACTTTAAAACTCCCCCTACAACTTGGCTTGGTACTTGAACCCCTCACTTCCATTCACCGCCCACCGCTCCCCTTGAGTTCAACATTCCCCACATAAGGAAAACTGAGGTAAGGTAGTTACTTAATTTGGGGACCATCCCCAAATGATATTTCACTGCCAGTCCTTCTTCACTATGCAGTATTCTCACTTCTACTTTCCTTCCTTACTCTCCCTCACCTGCCTAAGGCTCTTGCTCTTATTTTAATATCCTTTTTCACATCTCTCTCAGTGTGATTGCTACCGATTCTCACTTGTTTCCTGCCCTTCTTGTCCCCTAAAGCAGAGCTTCCTTCACACGTCACTCCTTTCAAACTTCCCTGCTTACTCCTAACACCCTGTTGCAGCAGCTATTAACCAGTCAGGTCTGGAACTGCTACCTCCCTGCTAAATTTTCCTCCCTTGTCTGAGGGGTGCAAATTCCAACCAGATTTTGCAACCTGTAGCATAAATTCCTGTTTGCAGCTCCAGTATTTCCCAGCTGTTTGGTGTTTTGAAGCCTTTTCTCAGATCAGTCCCTGCCTCCCTGCTAATTTCAGCAATTAGCTGGATCAGGTGCACCCAGAAACCTCCTTCATCCCTTCAGCTGTGAGGCCACAGACCCATCTCCCCAACACACACCTTCTCCCTCCCTCCAAACTGTGCAGCTGCCGGCTTCAGGCTCTTACCTCTGCCCTGGGACTCCAGGTCCCGCCTGGCTGCTTCTCTCATGCTCGTGCTGCAGGTCTCTGTGCCCAGGAGCTGTACAAATGGAAATGGGAGCAATGCAAGGTCTCTTGTCCTCCTGAGGTCCCTTCCAACCTCATTTATCCCATGATCTACTGGAAAGGGCATGGAGCAACATCACAAACAGGTCTAATTCACACAGATCCAAACTGGTCCCAGCTTAGGGCACCAGCTTGCCAGGTTGCACCCAACTCTGAGCTGGCTGGGCCCAAAGCAGGGCTGGACTGGAACATCATCATGGGCTTGAATCAATGTACTCCCCTTCTCTGATATGTCTCTCTGCAGGTAAACACCTGTGGCACACTCAGTCTGTTTCCATGCTGGCATATCTCTTGCCAGGCACAGTGTCACTGAAACGTTTTCCACTTAGGAAGGATGAAACCTTGGAAGAGAAATAAATCAGAGCTGACTCTCAGGTGCTGCAGAAGGGCCTTGTTTCCTACCGCGGGCTCCTGGGATTCCCGCTCTTTGTCCAACTATCTTTGACTCCCTCTCCTGGCTGAAAACACGGGTTACAGCCAAGAGAAGAGAGCAGAGCCCACCGAGCTCAGAGGGACCCTCCAGCCTGGGGTCAGTCCCCAGCAGGACGCTGAGCCCGTTTTGCAATCTAACTCTGCGTCCATTATCAGTGGGGTTAAACATGTGTCATTTTTCCCCCCTCCCCAGCACTCCCTGTTGAACCCTTTTTAACGAGGCAAGCCTGGGAGGAACCATCTTTTTTATTACAAATTCCATACAGAGAGGTCAGGCATCACCATCTGAACTCCTGTGGGATGCAGCTTTCTGTCCTCTCAAAAACCTAAACCAAACCAAAAAAAAAACCCCTAAAAATTCACCCTTTATTAGCACTTAGTCCCTCCGTTGGCATTTAAATTCAGGCTACAGCCAGCACACCTCTCGGGCCCCGCTCCCACCCCGCCGCAGGAGCCAGCTGCGCTTGCCTGGGCCCTGCTTTGAGGCTCCCTTAGCTCTGACCAGGTAATTCCGCAACTGCTCCGGCTTTCGCCTCGCTGGGGAGCTCTGGCCGGCGGGGAGAGGCCCCGGGGCCCGCAGATGGTGCCGCGGCCCCGTTCCCGGCCGCCCTTCTCCGCTGCTCCAAGCCTCGGAGGTCGCCGCTGTCTCAGAGACACCGGCTTGGCC